ATTTAAATTATATAAAAATATTTTTTTTTAATATTGAAATAATTTTAGTGACAAAATTTATATTAATTTGTTTTCTATTTAATGCAGATATTTATCTTTTAGAATATTTTGAGCCATAGCACATCTTCTCACTCACTGACAATACCCTATTGTAAGAGTATTCGTAGTAATACCCAGAGACTTAATACCATAGGATATGCGAGAATGTCCCACTCCATCCGGCAGTCATTTGGCGCATTAGCGTTATAGATGCTTCAGTACACTCGGCCATAAACATAACGAAACTTTTTAATTGAAACAAACAAATGACAATTTCGCGAAAGAGCGCTTAAGCTCCATGGCACTCATAGAGCGATTAAGCAGGCAGTTGATTAGATTAGATGAGCTTCGTATTTTGATTTGTGGCTAGGTAAGTCGGCTAATTACACTAATTATTATGACAATAGTCGCATAGCAGCTGCGCTCATCTTGCATTCAATGCGATTGGCTATTGGGCACAGAACTTTTGCCACACTCCAAACTCCCAGCCGAACTGAACTGAAACTCTATAAAACAGGCAACTTTTATGCGAAAACTTTTAATGAGGATTTCAACAAAAAATGTGTAAAATGAGTTTCGACTCGCTGCTGTGCGCAGAGATGATGCCCGTTCATGAATAGTTGGCTAATGATTATTTAAGGCAAGTGCAGGGCCTAAAATAGAAAGTAAAAAAGCGAATTTCGAGAACTAAGCTGAACATGTTAAATGGATTTTCGGGGCACTGTCAGAGCACTGTGCACTGTGCTGCAGTGTAAACACAATTCAATTAACTTGGCGATTGTTGTCGAGCGGTTGGCCATTGTTGTCGCCGTCGAGCCGGCAAGGACGCTGAAAATAACAGAGAGCTGAGAGCTGCAAACTGAAAACTGAAAACGACAAGCCGATGATGAGGATGACGTTGACTAGGACGTTGACGTTGCTGACGCTGATGGCACATAGCCAATGTCATGCAAGCCCCAAAAAAGGGTGGCCAGCGAGGCACAGCCAAGCCCGCAGCGAGTGCATGCAACAAGCTGGCAAATATTTGAGGCAGCCGCCGGCAACTCATTTGCATTATTAAAATTTTCATTTTGCGCTGCATTGAACCAAAAATAGAGCCGCGCCTAATTGACTTGGGCCCGAACAAAGGGGATACAGATTAAATGTCCAAATGTGGGGCATATTACTGCAAACTCAACTCAAAGTAATTAAGGATATTACAAATTCATATGGCAATGCCAAATTGCGGATTACCTTAACTCTGTTTCAGTCCGGAGCTCACCTGCAGCTGAAAGCGTAGCCAGAGAGTCAGGTTTAATGATGCCTGAAAAATCATCAAAGCGCGGAATTGTATTGGCCAATGCTAAGTAAAAGGTCGGCATTTGAATACCAAGAGTTAATGGACTATAGAATGCGAAAAGGGCTGCCAAGTGAAACGGGGCGGGCTTTGAGCTTTAGAAGTGATGCGGCGTTCGTTCATTCATCATATACGTGAACTTTCAAGCAGAGCAGCAGCTGAAGTGTAAATGTCATTGCCAGGCGATAGGAGGGATGTGGATGGAGTGATGCTGCTTGTTGTTGCTGTTGTCGTTGCTGTTGCTGTTGCTGGTAAGGAATGCGTGAAGCATCCTCAGTCTACCGACTGCTGGTGGCTGCGGTTGGCGACGCACGACTGCCGATGACACTTTAGCTGGAACAGCAGCTCCCACAGCTCAGAAGGGGTAACCCAACACAAGGACAGCCGTGTGGCAGGATGCCGGATGTGAAGTGTGACTCTGATTTCTGGCCAGGTTGCTGACGTGGCAGCCACAGCAAACGTGACTGCTGCCAAGAATAATGACTTAATTTTCAACCACATACAACACTTTTGCCACTGTCATTCCTGACAGCTGCCCTTTGTCTGCCACAAGACAACATTCTTGAGACTTTCAACGAAATCAATCAAATCCACCCGCTCTGCTATGGCCAAAATATATAGTATACCTAATATTTGTATACTTCTAAAATGTCAATATTCAAAATATGTTTTATTAAATTGGAGCCATTTATTACTAAAAATATATTTGATATACGTGATATTTCATATCTCGCTTCTTCTTAATTTTTGTTTAATTTGAAGATTTAATATACACATTTATGGGCGATATTTTCGGCTTTGGTTTATTTGCGGGCTATAAATAGCAGCAGAGCAAAATTCTTATTTGTATTCTGCTTAAAAATTTCATACATACTTCTGTGCAGACATTTGTTATTGCTGCTGCTCGAGTTGGCTGCGGGTGGCAGACGTTTCCCCAATTCTGTTAAAATGTTTCAATTTTCTGGCACATCTCACTGGTGCGATTGTGTGCGTGTGCCCATGGTGCGTATGATTGATATCAATTTTGCTTTGATGAATGCCCAGTGGAATAGAGTTTTTGAGCTTTGTTATTTATAGGCATCTTTGTCGACGCTGCTGAGCCAATTTAGTTGCTAGTTGTGGCTTGTTAAACGCTTTAAAATGCCAGCTCCATGCCATATTGCACACACAAAGTAAACTCTGCAGGCCAGAGCGAGCAAAGGTCTGGCCAAAAACTTTTGTGTACATAAAATACCATAACATATATACCTAAATATGTGTTTATATGTGTGCCTATGTGTTTGCATATGTGAGAGCGTATGCAGATGTATTCAAATCAGACTGCCTTTTTATGGCACACACACACACACACACAACATTTGCATATCAAAATGCTTTTGACCAACCAAACAAGCAAAGTTAAGTCAGGCAGTCGAATAATGTATGCTCTATATGACTGGAAAGGTACGCAACTAAGTATTACTACTAAATATTCCTACTACTATTTGTTCCTCAATATGAAAATCACATATAGTGTAGAGAGTTTGCTAAATCTCTCTCTCTCCCTCTCTCTCTCTCCCCCTCTCTCTCTCTCTCTCTCTCTCTCTCTAATCTTAATCAAGCTTCAACTTCGTTACCTCTTTTACAACATATCTACACAACACTTTCTCCTTGAGAATATCTCAGCTCAAAAGCATAAATTACAAAAAAAAAAAAAAAACAAGTAAGAAGGCTCTAGTCGAGACTTCTCGACTAGGAGATACCCTGAACCCTCTAAGCTGATTCTCTAATCATTCTGCACTTCTTTTATGCACACATACATACACATGCATCCACACGCACGCATAAGCCTGCGCTCTGCTAACTGTGCAGTAAGTAGCGACTGCGCTTGGGCTGCGTTGCAGTGTGAGCAATACTTTGAGAATTTATTTGTTGAATAATTTCTTTTGTAGACGTACAATCTTAATGAAACTTTCAGAGTGTAATCATATGATGAATATAGGTGTACATTCCAAAGCACAAGTCTCTAGTACTTGAAATGCGTTTTTTACAAATTGGGGGAGAAGGGGGCGTGGTATCCAAAATCTGTAAATTACAAAATCTTTGTATCGATTAACTTTATATACAACGCAAATTTGAAGACTCCAGGTCTAAAAATGTTCAAATTAGGCTAAAAAAACAAAATCAATTTTTCGATTATTCTCGATAAAAAAGTTATCGGACGATTTATCGAAAAAATAAAGCAAACTCGTACTGCGTATGGTACACACGAGTATGCATGCCAAATTTCAGCTCTCTAGCTCTTATAACTTCTGAGNTATAAAGTTTACTTAATGGATAGTGCAAGCACTATATTATTAAATTTCACTTATTTTTTTTAAGTTAAACTTAAATTATAATTTAATTTGATTATATATTTCATGAAATAAAAATATTTAATTAAACATACAAATATTTGACTAAATATAATTTGTGTTATTTTTTGGCTGCCTGAGTAATTTAAATTTTAACAGTTAAAGCTCTCCCATCCATTTATATGAGCCCAAAAATTTAACTTTTTGTTAACAATATAACAAAATTTATAAAAATCAGAGTATTATGCATTCCATCTGCAGAGCCCATCAGTCATTCCATTTGCCTGCCCAAGTATTCCAAAATATATACCCCATTCGTAAATATCAATCATGATTTCCAGTTGAGTCAAATGCCAACACAGTAGTCCATATTTGTGTTTTAGAAATTCAAAATTCGTAACTCTTTTTGGATGTGCATTTGGATGGGCACAAATGTTCGAGATATATGTAGTCCCACCCCACGGCAGGATTAACTCAGGTGAATTCGATATGCAGAAAATGTGTTTATTCTATAGAAATTTAAAATTCGATGCACTGGGCCTAAAGCTAAGTCTTAGTTGCTAAAATACGATAGGATAGATGGGATTAGATGGTCTTGCGTGGACGTCGCTGCAGTCGAGTGCGCAGCATTTTGTTTTCGTCGGCGCACTTGGTCGTGATGGCTGTGCGCACCTCTTTGGGCGTCATCTGCATGCTGTTGGTCATCAGGTAGACCAGGTCGGCCACCTTGAGTGGGTCCAGCTGCTGCTTGCTGGGCCGAGCGCAGTCCTTGAATGCCGGCGAGGGCTTCCCAGAGAGCGTGTGGAAGGCCAAGGTGTCCCGATCGAAGATCTCGCAGAGCAACTTTCGTGTTATGGCCGGGCCAGACATGGCCCAGTTTATGCTCTTCAGGGTAGCACGCGATATCTGCGTGCCATTCGGTCCAATGGTGACCATGGGCGACTTGCCATCACGATCGAACTCAAAGTGCGGAAGAACTAATTTGCCATTCGGCGTGGATGTGACGAGCTTCTTCAGCCGCTTGCGTTTGTTGCTGTTGCCAGCACCGTGCGGCACATATTCCTCATCGTCATCGTCCAGCTCAATGACATTGTCATTCTCCTTCTCATCGTCGTCGTCCTCGTTGGTCTTGGGCGTGGAGGTGTTGTGCTCGTCAGTGCCCTCGCGGAACAGGTCAAAGTGTGCCGCTCGATGCTCATGCTCCTGGTCCATGGTCTGCAGCTTCTCGATCTCGATCATGAGCAGGTCGAGCGCCTTGCGCTTGCTGCGCTCCCAACGCTGCAGCATCTTGAGCCGCGCTTGGTTCACTGCCTGAATGGAGTTCTCCATGAGCTCGCGACGATCGAGCTTGGCCAGCGCCGTCTCCGCATCCATAGCCGAGTCCTCGTTAAAATCGTCCTGCTCTTCCAAATTCTCCTCGTCCACCTTGCACTGTGTTTTCAGCAGCTTCTCAGCAGCCAGCGTCAGTGTCGCTAATGTGCTCAGCATTTTCTTAGGCTTCGGGTAGACAACGCCGTCGGCTTCGGCTTGCTCGATGCAGCGCATCGTCTTCTCGGCGAAGCCGGCAGCGCTGCTCTGCTTCTGGCGCATCTTCTCATCCCCGCTCTCCTCCTCGCCGGAGGTGTCGTCTGTGCGCAGTCGTGTGATGATTTGCTCCACCTGCTTCTGTGCCGGCGACAGCTCCACAGTTCTGTGGTCGTACGGCAAAATGCTGAGCGCAAATTCCAAGCGTTGGCGGCGATTGATCTAGGGGAAGAGAACAATTGGGCTTCAATTAATCTAGTAATAGAGCAAGAGTAGTGTGTGCACTCACCATGTTCACGTCTGTTGTCCAATTGAAGACTGAATGCCCTGCTTAATAAGCGTCGCTCTTTTATACCCTAGCCAATACGAGCGAGACCAGGTAAATTCTACATACCAGATTTATTGCTCTTCGCTTTGCAGATGTCATACGCACATATAGAAAATATTTGAGAGCTCTGTACCGGCTGCACTGGATGCACAGGCAACGCGGATCAGTGCCGACAGCGATCCACAAGAAGTCTCGCCTACCTGCAGGCGGATCGCTGCACAGATGTCCCGGCAACGATGATGTGCCAGGGCAGCACTCGAATGCCACTCAACATCTACCTGATTGCGGAAGACGGCCCACTTGCATCATTTTCGACGAAGTGGAGCCAATCGCAGCGCAGCACAATAGCTGTGCCCCGAAGGGCAGGGCAGCTGTTCAGCACAAGGAAACTCAGACCGAATCGATCCATAATCTCGGACAATTGTCGGACAATTCGAAAAAGCGTAGAGTCACAATCGTCGAAACTAAGCAGCCGGAGTCACGAGAGGTACTAGTCAACGAGCAGGATCCGAACTCGAGCAAGTTAATCCGATCCGATATATTGCCGCACGAACGCAACGAAATCAAGAAACCTCTCTCTGAATATTATTATACCTCGGCGAGCATCTACCGACCAGGTGAGGCAACCGAGACCACATCAACCAACAGGCAGCCAAGTGCTCGGTCTGGCTATAAAGTGAGGAATTTCATTCGAACCCGAGACGATTCACCTGAAAGTAAATCTGAGCCGGTTAACGACAAGCAATTAGCGGTCAAAGCTGCTCGATTGGAGGATCGGAGCTTATTCAATTTGAATAAGCAAAATATAGCAGAAGATGAAAGAACCTATTGGAATCCAGAGAAACATTTCAAGCATCCAACAATAGTTGTGACATCTGAGAAAAATGGAAAGGAACAAGATGAAAGGGATCACAGGCCCGCAAAGATTGTCGTTAGCAACACGGACCACGGCGAGGTGGAGAAATACTACAGCTGCGAGTCCATACAGAAAATGGATAACCAACTAGGCAGAATCAAACATCAAGTTGACAGACTTGAGCTCGGAGTGAATGAGCTGCATTCAAATATCGCATTGCTGAAATCGAAGGAGTTGGGGCCAACCGAAGAAAAGAACTCAAAAGACTTGATTGTACTATTTAACGACGGTTGTAGGAGTGCATGCGGCCAGAGCGAAACTGATTGGAAGGTCTACAGGATACCCAAGACCGGACTCGCTGCGAAACATTCAATTCCTGAGAGCCATCACAAGACAATTGACTCTATTGTGAATAGCTTGGGCGAGCCAGTCAAGACCTCAACTCACTGTCCGGACAATTCAAGAGCTGAAAAATCAAATTACCATACTGCTGACAGATCGCTAGATCCTAGGATATTCACAGAATGTAAGCAGCACCATGATGGATGTTCCTTCCTTATAAAGCCCTGCAAAGCTCCACAAAAGACATACAGACGCTGTGACTGTAAATGTACCGAGCCTCCAATACAGCTGCGTCGTCAGTCCTCAAATATTTGTAAAAATTGTTCGAACAGAGAGCAGCTGGTGGTCCATGATCTAGCGGGTGAGCTGAGGAAGTTGATGGGGAGTCGAAGCCCCAAGGATATTCAGTTCGCTATACTCCTCCGTGCTGACAATGTCTATCACATCAGCGTGCAGCTGAAGGCGTCGCACCAAGTTCTCGGCTGTTTGCTGGCCACCAACGCGGCCGTTCATGAGGCCGTCAACCTGGGCTTCTTCGATGACATTCGCACCTATTGTGCAGTCGATGTGCGTAACACTATCCCACCAATTGGCCGTCCACTGGGCATACCATTTGAGCTTATGCCGCGCAGCAGCACAAGGGATACAGCTGGATCTGAGGGTGAAGAAGCTAGCGAATCTATCTTCAACCTGGACTCACGCACACAAGATTTCATCACGAAAGTGCTGGGAGTGCCAGCCGATAGAGTAGCTATCAATTTGAGCAGCAACAAAGAAGCCCTTTCACGATTGCTGATTCATAAGAATGTTGGCTAAGCAAGCTAAATTACTTTGGGCAATTTCACAGAATAAAAGTTTTAAATTTGTATACGAAAATATGCATTGCTGATTTGAATTTCTAAATATGGTCTTATTGATTAGGCAAGCGATACGTGCAATAGATAAGAGAACATATTTAAATCAACTGGCTTACCTTTCATCAATTGGCTAGCTAGAATTGGTTGCTTTTTGAGAGGCTTTTAAATAAAAACACTTGCAAATAATTAATTAATGAACAATATTAAAAATAAATAAATAAAAAAAAATAATGATTAAAAAAAATGGAATGCAGCATAAGAAGTGTGAGCTTTTATTCTTATTTGCATACAAAAATTAAACCAAATAAGAATGTACCTCATAATAATTTGTAGTAAATTTTAGAGGGAAATCTATATATTTTATATTATTTTAATTTCAAGATTCAAAAATGGGAAGCAATCGGCTTTTTTTTGTTTTTTTATAAGCCAATGCTTGAGGGGATACAAATAATACATATGTATATA